TACATTGCATACCTACCCGTGCCCATCGCGAGACTGCATAAACATGAAGCAAACAGTATATTCACCATACGCTCTTGTTGAGCACGCCAAGAAATGCGTTGTGTCTTTGACCTAATCATTTCCTACTACTATATTCACTTTCACGAACCTACTGGATTTGTGGAACATCTGTTCTGCTACTCATCATACACCACTACTCCAATGTTCCCTTGTACCCCAACCGTACACCAGTGGTGTGCACGCAGGAGGAGCGTCGATCAGCTTCGCAGTAACCGTGGCTGACTCGCAGAAGCCTCCGACCTCTTGTTTACTAAGGCAGTGGGACGTATGGGTGGGGTTGGGTATAGCCGAGTGCAAATCACACGTGGATCATCTGTTTGTACATACATCCCATGACCGTTCACGACCGCGGTTGTAGACAAATCCATTACGCACACCGTAGCTCTACTACGCGGACGGTGAAATATTTTACTTGAGGAAACTGAGTCTAGTTGTGGGACAAGAGGCATACAGCTGAAAAGCATTTATTTGGGTCAGTTTTATCCCATAAACTTGAGAGGATGATGTTCTTAACAAAGCAACATGGCTTCCGTCACAATAGGTCATGTACTCAGTCCAATGTTAACCCTCCGGTTAGGCTAAACCGTGAATGTTGATGGGTGAAGTGACGTAGTATGGCCTATTTTCTCTATAACACCTGGTGAGTAGCACAATTGCATTCAAAAGGCCTTATTTCATGGCTTCTCTTTTTCACATTAACTACTAGGGTGAATTATTAATTGCTTTGCACACATTCGTCTGGAGATTAACTTGCATAAAATAACGTTGCATCCTACCCGATTCGATTGGGATGTGCCACAGTTCGGTCTTGGATCCTCGTCTGTTCCTGATCACTATGACCCAACTCGTAGTACGTTATATGATCGAGTATCGCTTAATACGCGACTGGAACAGTACCTTGAAACAATTCTTGCAGCAAAATCGGTCGAAATCCAGAAAATGCCTGATTACGTAATTTTCAGACCATGGGTTCCGGGAGCACGTCGCCTCAGAATAGGACATCACACAGTTGAGCCACTTTTACAGTATGCAGCTATTCATGGCTTTATTCAGCTGGTGCACCCAATCTCAATGGTGCAAAACAGACGTCGACCTCTCAGCTCTGTTTGCAGTATTCATGTGATGTAATTTTCGAAGTGTCTTGCGATGCAGTGCACTTCCAAGCTGTTGATATTGTTCGTTAAAAATTCTCACCTTGAATCATGCTCATTATGTTTATCAGTGTGCAGGTAGACCCGATGCTCTGCACTAGGCGTAGTTTTGTGTCTTAAGTATCCAATGTTGTCTGTACCGGATATACATATTTGAGCGCACGTCAGTACTTCTTGGGTTATAAAAATATCGTTCGAAGTCACGAAAGATTGTTACTGCTCAGACTATTGTTCCAAAACATCCCCTCCATATGTAGCAGGTTTAATGGGTGACCAAATGACAGCTCATTGGCAGTCATGTTACAGTCATGCGTCAAACGAGTCTCTGCACTCCGAGCTGATTCTGGGAGTTTACAGATAGCCGTGTTATTTCAATTCGATGGTTATCGTACCAACCCACTTCATCGAATTTATACACCGCCATGACGTCGTTATGGAGTGTGCAATCCAAACCATTGAGTTTTCGAAGCTCCTACAAATATTAGACAAAACTGGAATCGGTCGATGTCTAGGTCACTTATTTGAGCAGTGCAATAGGTTTCCAAATACGCAGTACACCGATTAGATACAGCTGACCTGGAAAAAATAATGTAAACTGTAACCCATTCTGAAAATTACTCAATGGTTTCAACTCCCAGAACCCTATGTTAGCAGCCCAGTCCACCACACAAGTCAAAAGGGTTACTTACACTCTAATGTAAGTATGAACCCCCGTCGACGTCAGTTGAAGACCTTGATATTGCATGGATTCAAACGTGGTTTAAAGAAGAACCAGAGGGTTGAACGATTGCGTGCTCCATTACGTAATGACACGCATTCAAGGGCCACCCTGTTTGAGTGGTTTGCTGAAATCAAGCGTGGCAGGCGGTCCCTAGATGACGAGGCACATTGTAGTCGACCTGTAGTGACCTATACCGCGGACAGCATCCTAGTAGTGGAAGTGATGCAGGAAGAGAATACGCGCCTGATTGTGGTACAGCGGGGAAACCCATCGGGATCTCATCGGGATCAGTCTGCACCATCCTATATGAGAACCTCGGCATCAGAAAGGTTCGCGCACTCTAACTATCCCATCAACCCACTGAGAACCACAAAGCAGCTCAGATGAATTGGTGTCACACTATGCTTGCCACGTTTGATGGTGGATGTTTCAATGCTGTTTCAAAGATCCTCAGTGGTGTGCAGTGACCCAGAGACCAAGAAATAATCGGTTCAGTGGACGGCCGATAGTGGGGCGCCGCCTCAGAAATTTCGGCATGAGTTTAGTGTGACCAAGCAGATGTTGGCCATGTTCATGGTCGAGACCGGTCATGTGGCTACTGTGCTGCTCGCATGTCAACATGCAGTCACTGGAGACTGGTATATCTCTCACTCCCTGCCGCAAGTGTTGGAAGCTGTAGCCAAGCGTCGTCCAAGTACTCGAGCACGAGGGGTTTTGCCACACCATGACAGCGCACCTGCACGCCTGTCCCATGTCAGCGTAGATTTACTGGCTGGAGAAGGTATCCAGGAGTTTGGTCACCCAACCTACAGTCCAGACCTGGCTCCGTGTGCCATTTTATTCCCAGATCTCAAACGCATGATAGGTGTAATCCGCTACTAGTCTCCAGAAGATGCATTAGAGAACTTTATTTTGCTGCTTGAAGGGTTGTCTGCTTTGGTATGGTCCAGCTGCTTCTATAAATGTTTTGAACGCTTGGGACTGTGCATGAACGCTGGTGGAGGGTATTTCAAAAACGTGGTACTTATTTTGTTGTAAAAAATAAAACATTTTGGGCGTCTGAGAAGTTATTGCTCTGCACTCCTGCTGATCACTTCTAATTGTTACTTAACAATCCATTTTCTCCTTAACGTAACGGCACTACCTCTTGTAGGTACCCTTATCCTTGTGTTGTGAGTTACCGAAGCATATATCGTACACTTGCTGCGAAGTATATCGGTGCTTGCTTGCCCCCCATTTTAACCTGGACTATATTTACTTTTGAAATAACGCGTAAATCAAAAGACTCGTAAAACATTTCCTTAAACTTAAACAGTTTCTGTAAACTTTCCTTCGAGTTCAGACTTTATAACCGTACGCATTTTCTTCGAACTTATTCAAAAGGCTTCCGTCCTGCTTAAACTCTCACAGAAATTTATTTCTTGTGGTTTCAGCTTGTGGGGAGCTTTCCTTGTTGATTTTTTCCTTAGAAAACTATCTGATGCGTATGTCGGTTTTAACACATCTTCGTAAACCTAGACTCTGACCCACAACACTGTGATCTTGATAATACGGCATCAATTTCTCTTAAGCGGTCGAAATTAAGCGTTTTATTTCTCGTGTTTCACCGCTTCATCTTTTCGTTGGATCATGTTTATCGCAACTGCAAGCCTCGACAATAGGAGACGTCCACGTTGCGTGACATTATTTCTAATCAAAATTGCGCTCATTTCTAGTTTTCCTTGTCATTTTGGGTTCCGTAATCAAGTTGTGTTTTGTCATAGAACATTGGTATGATACAAATAAAAAGCCAAAGATTAACAAGTCCCATGGGATGACGTGTGTGAAGTATGTGAGTTCAAACAACAGAAGTGAAACGCGCATCTACGAGCACACCATATTATCCAAGTAAACACAAGTATATCCGTCTGTCCCGATTTTGTGGGGGTTGGCGAACACAATGTTTATCTGCGTCTTGTAGTCACTCAAGGAATCGAGACCAAATCAAATCAGGTTGATGGTGTAATACATCGTCGAGGGCTTTGCTAGAAACTGGTAGTGTGGGTGCAGAAATCACACAGGCAAAGAGTTCCAAGGTTAACAGATTTGACGGAAAAGGAATTCTGGCGGCATTCCAGCCGACTGTTTTCAGTGGCCGGTTTCAGCCGGCGACCCCACAGTGATAACGCAAGGTGTTGAAAATGTACTCGTAATGAATACGGAATGCGTACTGTGAACTGACCTGGTCATGCCACCCTTTCTAACTTGCAAATTGTTCCGTGGATTAGTGTCCGTATAATCTCTAACCGAGACGCTATAAGTTTCCCTATTGCCCAGTTCAGTTTCTTATAATTGTAGCTTATCTGAATCACATCAGTATGATGTCGATACTTTTCCGGCCTTGGGCTTGGGGTTAAAGGTGTCTCTTGACTAAATCACATAGTTAAGCTGGACGTCAATCAGCTGTTTCTGCCACAATTACAACGGATCAGCCCTATCAAAGTCATAGTCATAAAATCAAGGTAATATTAGTTTACTGATAGGTATGATGCACCTGAGCATTTGACATTCAGTTGTAAGTTTGACGTCGTATTGCAAACAGAAAGCTGATAATGCCGTCTCAACTAATTGAAGTTTCACAGATATCGCTGGTAATGCTGGAGGCTCAATAAAATGGTTATTACTAAAAATATGCTTCGATGGTTAGATGCGGCACACTTATTGGTGGAATTGGTTCTTCCAACTTCTGTTACTGTACAAAGCCTAGTCTAGCCCAGATGCTTGCTTCTTTGCAGCAGACCTATAAGCGTGACGTCATCAAACTCCAAAAGAAATACAGTTGGCATAATACGCCCGTCATCAGGAGCGAACTGTTGCGCGCGTTGATCAGCACCAATATAGCAGCTTTGTGAGCGATATACATATTCAATGATTTTACTAAAATGGCATTAAGGACACCGAATTTATAATCAAATGTAATTTCTGGTTGCAGCAACATTTACCTAATCGCACTTAGTTTAACCACCTGCTGACACGGAAATGTTCACCATCTCGCTGTGTTTTACCATTTGCACTCATTGGTCTAACGAATGTGCGCTCTCGATTACCGGTACAATTTAGACGGCTACCAACCGACAGCAGCGGATCACAATATGTTTCAGTTTGTGAGCTATAAATTACTTCGGAACAAAGCCAATAGGCGCCATAGAAAACGGGGAAACGCAACATTTCTAATTGAGATGATGAATATTTACTGGGCCCTAATTTTCTTATTTGGTGAGTAACTGTTTTGCTTATTTCAACGCACTAAGTGCAATCTTGGTGAATCCTAAAAGTTTACCTATACGAGAAGCCAGGTTTAGTGTAGTAGAATAACCGTAACTAATTCAACCCTAGCTAGGTGTCCTCGAAACTCAAGTTTGTTTAATGTTTTTGATAGGCACAGAAATAATTCAGAATTTTTTGACCTTGGAGCCTACGTACAGTTTAACTTAACAGTAGGTTACAGTTGAGCGATTAAGGTTCTTGCCCCCGTTTGAGCCGAAGGATGAGAATCCAAAGTAAATAACTAGGGGTTGCCCATCGTCTTTCTGATCATGCTTTGGTTGAAGGTAGGAGTGGGAACTTCCGCTTGCAATATTGAAAAATGAGCTTGCAGAATAAGTCGTTTATAATGCTTTGTAATCCTTATTCGACCAATTTGATGATGATTTGAGTAAACCAGCTAATGAACAGCTTCCGTAATAAAGGTAAGAGAAATAAGCAACAAACCGTCATTACCCGTGAACCCTACTATGGTTACAGAATCACACTGTATTTCTGCAGCGATTATGTGCTGCAAAGCATCATTGATGATTTTCACTAAATAAATCATAATATCCGATGTGTTAGAAGGCGGTAAATTTGTAAAAACGAATAGTTTAACTTACCTCTATAGAGAGAATTACTAAATTAATTTCTTGGATGTTTCCTAAGAGGCTTTATCACTATGGTTAGGTAAGTCTGCTTGATATTGCTGGTACAAATATTTCACCTAATTTCCCTGAGGCCAATATTCTTCCGCGCAACGGCATATCTACTGCAATGTATGTTACAGTAGCGTTGGCTTGCGCTACCTGTAGTAAACATTATACAGAGCACTACCTACTATCAAGAACTGTGAACGAACTAAAAAAAGGAAGTAAAATAGTTGCCCATTTTCGCACAAAATGCGATTGGATGAGCTATCACGCAGGAACAATAAGACAGTCTGTGGGCCCACACGTAAGCCTGTGAAGCCTGTACTACTCACATAACAGATGGAATAAACACAGTGGATTACTACTAAAGATTATTGAAAGTGAACTGTGCACATCATCTCACGATGTCTTCTATTAGTGGGAAAACGGGAGTAGCCTCGCAGAGGCTTGGCACAAGGGGCGGTCTGTACTGGCTGCATGTAACAGACGGCGGTATTTTCAGCATCGTTGATTGTTCGATAGCGAATATAAAAGACAAAAGTTCCAGCCAAGCTGCGCGTTGACTATTTACTGTTGCTATATGATACCAACACCTTTGAGCGATGTGGAACACCTGTGCAAACAGTCTTCCCAGAGACTCGCTTACTTGTCCCACTGTGGTCACCTTCACCATACGTACCTGTGTCCCAAACGATCATCCACTTTATCGAAAACAAAAGTACACTTGACCCAGAGCTTATTGTGTGGCCTTCACACTCCAATTCATGGCAAAAATTTCACCGCGGCCGCGGGCAGCAAATGTCGTTGCTACATCACTGTAGTCCTCGCACTCTCCATTCATAACCAAGAATACTTTAATTCTGTCCGTTGCCAGAGGAAAGAGGTGTCTGCCTTGCAGCCCAAAGGCCACTGGTTCGGATCTGCGTAGGCGCGAGAGACTTCACAATATCTCTAATCCCAGCATGACTGGTGCTGCCAAGATAACAGCTAAGCGTTGCTCAGACACCAGCGTACAACTCATGACCTGTTTTAAGGGACATTTCTATTGTCCGCCTATCTCCAAGTGGCTCCGCGTTGAGGTGATTAAGGCGGAGCCGTGGCTAACTAACCGAATGTTTGCGGTTGGATCTGGGAATCGAAACGCCGTCGCAGTCACCATTGGTTTCGTTAATGCCGGATAGATTCCGTGACTTGTTTGCATTATTTAAGGGTGGTGGTTAGGCCATTTTCAAGGCACTTCTTCCCTCTTCTGAAACGGCACAGTGTTTAGTTGGTTTCCATCAGATGGCTAAATATTTACTGATTTCAGATGTTTTAAATTTGAGCTAGGATTGTCTTATATTTTGGTCATAAAATTGAGGTTTTTTCCGCACCCAATATGGAACATGCAACATCTTGGGCGACTCCGATTATGTGATTCGACATCTGCCATATTTCTCAGTGGGTATTGTTTACCAATACCGTTGGAACAATCATACGATAAAGTAGGCGCAATTTTTTATTAATATTAATCCACTAAGGCTTTAGTAAAGCGACACCAGAGCAACTGAGAGCGCTTTAGGAGCAGAACCCGTTGACATCTCGTCTCAATCAGAAAGTAGACGTCCACACAGAACTTTAGAAAACTAGTTATCAGGTTGCCCTACTTCAGTAATCGGATGTAGTGAAATAAACCAAAGTCTACAGAGACAACTTCTTCTTGCGATCATTTAGTGCTATGTGGAAAGTATTATTTCAAGATCTGATAGCCCTCATTGCAACTGGTGACACGTTGGTCTCTCATATTCCTATGGATAACAAGAAATAATTTTGCCCTAGAAAGATAGTACCCTCTCGGCAAAGCCAATTGCAGACGATAAATAGTTCCAGCTTTCTAACAAATAACAAGTGTTAGGTTCTGAGTAACCTAGAAGATCCCAAGATTTTCGCCAGTCCGAGAATTTGAATGACGGTGGTGTTAGCTGTGCGAAAATCAGCAGAAAACTGTTTAGAAACAAGTCCGGGTATTCAAGGAAAGCATCTGTAGGTCTATTGTAAATATCATCTGCTTCAGAGCTGGGATAAATTGGTGAGGAATAAACATCGACTTATGAAGTCGCGGAATATCGTTACGCTGTATACTTGTTTTAGTTTTAGATGAAACAGCCGATGCGTCAAGTGACGTAACAGAGAATGTCTTTGCGGACGTGCAACCTTACGAGTTCATATACAATCTAAAGTATTATATACCGAGTAATAAACACAATTACTTGCTTAGTAATGTAGGCTGACCAGAGCGATTATTACAAAGGCAAATCAAGAGCAACAAGAAAATAAAAGCGAAAGTTGGATATTATGTGAATCTCCAAGCGATTCACGTGAACTTAGATGCAGGTTTCCCCACCGTTAGGTTACGGAGATTGCTGGTTGACACATTTCTTGACTTGCATTATTCCGTCTTCCGAATGGAACGAAAAATATTGATTAACGCTAACTATAGCTACGGCTCCACTGCAGTTGATGTGAGCACGCAGTTAGTCAGTACGATAATAATTATGACGGCTGGTACCACCATTTCATCCTCGTCCTCGTGTGGCCAGGTCTGTCATACCACTAGTACTCCTAGTGAAGAATACTCGAGACCGCCCATCATATTTTTTAAGCTTCTTTAATTTTTCAAAAAACTAGATGTTGTTGGCAGCGAGTAGGGTGGACGAGTGCACACTTCTGAGATTTCTCCCCGAAGTGTAATAGTTGGTCTTCTGCCATATTCACGCAGAAATTTCTGGCCACATTTTGCTGCTTTTCATTTGCTTCGTATTAACTGATCAGAGAAAGATGAGAAATTCAGCTTTATGAAATACTATAAGGTACAGTGGTTTCAGTAGAGGCTGAATTAGTTCCGATGTGTCAAATGAATGAGCGCCAGATTTCGACGGTAATGCACCGATGATAAGGATCGAACTTGGGATCACAGATGAAACTGAATCGCAAGCGTGTATCCAGCTAATTCCAAAGTTCTTATGGGTGTAACAAACAGTTAAATAAAGGAAATACCGACTTAGAAGATATGTATATATGATCTGTTAAGGAGATACCAGAGGGTAAATTCGGGCCACCTCCAGTTGAATTGTAGTGAATATGGGGCAAACCACATGGAATTAGGTGGCGACTGAAATCATTTTTCTGATTGAGAGATACGGCTATAGCATTAACGGTTTTATTTGTCATTAGTGTAGATGTGAGCAGAGATGAGAGCGTAACGAATAACTGTTGGTTTAAAACTAAAGGTCCCCAGTATGTCGTCGACATACGTCTTCGCTGGTAACTCCGTTACAGTTATGGTAGGGCATGTAGTTGACTTGTAGTCTACTTTCCGTATATCACATGCTTTTGAGTCGGTTACAAAAGCAGTGGCCCTTGCGCCTTTTAATCCCATTATAACCACGGAAAATACTATATGCCTCACTAACCTCGTTAAATTTCAGTCGATTGGTGAACCAACTTGCGGAGTGTGCAGGCAGGACGGCCATCGTTTAGCATGTCACCGACACCTGAGGCGCTTCCGTTCTAATGGTTGCTTTCTTGCTGCTATCCCAACAGCGACTAAAGTAACAGTTGAAGAAGGCCTGTAATCCAGAAGTTCACTGAATAGCCACTATTCAAAGTTTGATGAATTTATGGAACCATTTGATAATTCTATGCGACTATTGTGTATAGTGTTTGCGCGTACAACTCAGGGTCTGTCAAGCCATAGTAGACGAAATAGCGAAGGTCCTTACTGATAAGAAAAGCCCATGTCTGTAAACTAAGTATAAGCAAAGTCAGAGATGTTCTTCTGATTATTGCCTTCAGGTAGGAAGACTGATATATGTCTTTTTGCTGTTTGGCTTCTGACTTTTCTGCTCGGAATAATTATATTTGGTTAAGCAATTGACTAGCTGTTGCGTCAGAGGCAGAACTGTTGGGTGACATTGGATGTTAAACTAACGTCATTTTGACACCGGCTGTCTACTAATCTACAGCGTAGCTCCATGTTTTCTGGAAGCAGATTGCCTACCTTTACCTGTGCAGCATGACGAAATTTGAAGGTTGCATGCTGGAGGATTCTCCGTATACCACTCACCATCATCCACGTCATTCTCTTCCTTTTCCTCCTCCTCCTCATCATCACTGTCATCACTAAACGTTAGTTAAAGGTGAAACCACACCTCAGCTAATGTGCCGCAATACAAGATGTAAGATACAAAGCTACACTACAAAAACCTTCAAAAGCAGGTACTATATTGTTACATAATATATTATGCATTTCGTGCGAGCTTGGAATTGGAGGGTAAA